GCTGATGTGAGGGCTTTGATCGAGCGTCAGATGTAAGAGGATCTGAGAAACAAAGGCTGTGGTTGTTTGCAGTAAAACTACTGAAAGCCTGCTGGGAAAATTATTAATGTAGACTTTCCTGCTTAGGAAACAAAATCCTCCCTCTTTTTTTTTTTTTCCTTTAACCTTCCCCCCAACCCTAAATTGCAAAACATTAATTCTTTGCTTCATTACTATGGAACATTTTAATACATGTTCAGGCACAGCACCGAAAATTGTGATGGGCATAGTGTGACCTTCAGAACCAGGGCAAATAGTGCAGTGCAAAGGGACTCCCACCACTGTGGCAAGCCTGCAGGACAGTGTGACTTGCCCTTGACCCTTCCCTTTATACTGTATCAAAGTTGGACTTCCACTACAGACAGCCTCTTATGAATAAGTAGGATTTTTTTAGATTTTTTTTTTTACAAGCAGTATTTTCTTACAAACCATGTTTTGTACTGTGAAAGTGTATAGTGTCTGGTCACATGTTTTCTAATCTGATTCAATCGAATGGATTGAAAAACTCTGACAGGATCATACAGCAGATGACATAGCTACAGTACATGATTTCCTGGTGTGTTACGGAATTAAACACTCATGTTAATTCCTTTGAATTTACGAGTTCACCCATACTCATGACAGTGGATAATGGTCAATTTAGCAAAAAACCACGGAGTGATAGTTGAGTAGTATGTCTTATGTAGTATGAGATCTACTGTTGAGATTGACGTTTTATGGAGAGAAAAAGTGAAGCTAGAAATGGGCCTCAGAACTTCGCTGTCACTGACCTTGGTTACAAGTGAGTCACTTCACTCTGTGTATCCCAGTACTGTCCCTAGCATGTCAAATGCCATCCTAATGAGGAGGTGGTCCTTCTTTAGAAACATCATCTTGAGGCCATTTGGTTTTTTCTTCTGTAAAACAAACTACAAAACTACACATGTAGGCAGTTATTTGAATTCCTTCAAAAACATGGGCTGCAAAGGTTTTCGTTTTTATCCTCTTCTTGAGGAAGCGTGTAGCATGCAGCAGAAAGAAGAGAGCAAGTCAAAGCACTTCAGAGGCTCTCCTAGTTTTTCCTCCCTTTAGAGGAAACAGTATCGCTGTCAATCGTTGCTTTCCTGTTTATTCTCTCTGAACAGTGAGCATGTCATAGGAAACATGGACTGACAGCATGGAGAACAGAAGTTATTTGCCATTCTGTTAGTAAGTCCTCTTCATAAATGTGTTGCCACGGGGCTATGTCCCAGAATCCCAGCCTTGTTCTTTGCGGTTAGTCTCCCTTCAGCTCGGTGTTGCACAGCTGTAGGCTTTTTTGGCTGGATACCACTAGGCTCTATCTGAAGTTTTCTGTAAACACCATTGCTGGCTTTGTGTCAGGCTGGAACAGAGGTGCCCTTTTACTGCTCCTTCTCTTCAGGAAGTCCAGTCAATTAGTCCAAGGCAAAGCCATAGATTGCATATTACTTTTTTTCATCCTTAAAACATTGCCAAATACTGACTGTCTGACCTAAGTCATTTCAGCTGAAACAAGCGTTCCAAAGCCTAAGAGAAGTTTGCAAAGACAATCTGCTGGGACTTTGGAAGCTACAAATTTATATGTAAGTTGTGGGAGTATTCCTGCATACGGTTTTCTTGTAGTTTTTCTGTCACTTGGGTAGCTTGATTTTTTTGTTATGATCCTTAACCTGTGGCTGGTTTGTATTTGTAAACCAGTTTCTTGGCTTGTCTCTCTAATGTTCAGGATCATCTAATGCCAGATCTGTTTTGACACATACCTTGCTGTCTTTGACTGTTGCTTGCTATGGTGTCCTAGTACCAGAAAACTGAAATATGTCGTGATATGCTGCTTTGCCTCTTCTAATTCCACTGAGGTGTGGCATCAGAACAGTCACCTGATGTGACACACTGGAGTGCTGCTGTGTTTAGAGAGGTTTCAGACTCACAGGTGATACCATCCTGAGATGAATGATGACCCCTTGTAATGTTTTTTTTTCTTGTTTCTTAGATTTCTAACACTGTAGAACTTAAAGGAGAGGCAGGATCCCACTTGTGTCTGACCTCAGCAAATGGCATTTGATGTTTTGTCACTTCTGTAGAGCTGCGTGTTTCAAACCTTACAGCAGCAAACAGGGATGCAGTTTTCTGCAAGTTTCTGCAAAACCTGACTTTGATAGTTCGGTTCTTGGGAGCAAAACCAGCTGCCCTAAGGACTAAGAAAAACCGGAGTTGCCTTGGGGTATGCCTATAGCACATGTATATCTGCAGAAGGGCTAAGAACATACAGATATTCAGCAGCAAAGTAGACTTTACAATATTCTTTGGGCAAGTTTTTTTTCCTAGATGTTTTTGGAAAAGCAGAATGGAGCCTGTGACCTGATAGCTTGCCAGTGTTAAAGAGCAGTCTCCAGAATCTTAACTGAACTTAATAACAATGGAAAGAAATAACAGAGTCTAAAATACCTCAAATTAATGTTACTGAATGAGTGTCAGGTAATAGCTGTGAATATTCATGTCTTGTGCTACAGAATTAAAATTTCATTTTTCTTCTTTCTTGTAGCATTTAAAAAAATAATCTCAGAAAAAATGAGGCATGTTCCTTATTGTCTGGGTCTTGGGCTAATCTGGTCTGTTGGATTGCAGCTCTCTCCTGGGCCACTATGTCTCTTTCACTTTCTGCTGACTTGGCTCGGTAGCTTTCTCCTAGTTTTCTACTATGTGAAGCCCATCCAAGGAGCGATACTGAGAGG